TAACTCTTATTTCAAGTTCCTAACGTTTTGTATGTCGAACCTAATTTAGGACGACTTATTGAAATACAAGCCTCCACTGTGAAAACTACTCTACAACGCCCATCTTCTTGGGAAATAAGTTTTTAAAAAAAGTAAAAGAGAATGATAAAATTTTCGTTAGTAACGCTATACTCGTTGCGTAAACGCGTACAGCCATAAACAACCGAACGAGAAACAGCTAACCATCTTATAAACGTAAATAATGGAAAAGATGTATATTCACTATCTTTATATTTTATAATACGATAGTAATATGTGAATATTACATGCATTATTATTAGATACACTTCAGTTTTATCAAAATCAGCTTTATTTTAAATACAGCTGTACTTTTGTAAATGGATATATAATTTGGTCAACGGCTTAGGCAAGGCCAGCAGAATATACACTAATTTTACATCTCGGCTATGATGCGACCCCCTTAAAATTGGTTTCAAAATTAGATCTTCACGGATACATGGCACAGTGGATAAAGGCTTTGGTTAGATACAGTGACAGGAGCCAAAGATTTACGAGTTCAATACCTGGTTAAGGCAGTGGAGAAACTGGAGAGGTGAATTGCCAGAATATAACTGATAACTGACATCCATTAGACATGGCACGTGGAACTAGAGCAGTCTAACCCAGTGAGTGAAATAAAGAGTTCAGTTCGACATTCCAACCACCTGAAGAAGGCCGGAGCGTACAACGGCCGAAACGTTGTGATAAATATGGCAACAATGATGAAGACAATAGTCCGAATAATGTAAATAGTGTACATAATACCTCATCTCAGAAATATAGACAGATACTGAAAGGCCGAAACGTTGTAATAAATATGGCAGCAAAGATGAGGAGAATAGTTCGAATAATGTAAATAGTGTACATAATACCTCATCTCAAAAATATAGACAGATACTTAAGGGTCGAAACGTGATAATTATGGCGACAAAGATGAGAACAATAGTTCGAATAATGTAAATAGTGTAAATAATACCTCATCTCATAAATATAGAAAGATACTTAAGGGCCGAAACGTTGTGATAAATATGGCGACAAAGATGAGGACAATAGTTCAAATAATGTAAATAGTATACATAATACCTGATCTCAGAAATATAGACAGATACTGAAAGGCCGAAACGTTGTAATAAATATGGCAACAGTGATGAGGGTAATAGTCCGGATAATGTAAATAGTATACATAATACCTCATCTCAGAAATATAGACAGATGCTGAAAGGCAGAAACGTTGTAATAAATATGGCAACAGTGATGAGGACAATAGTCCGAATAATTTAAATAGTGTACATAATACCTCATCTCAGAAATATAGGCAAATAGTGAATCCTCAAAAAAATCTCTGTGAAAGTATAAAAATACATTTTTTATAATAAAAATACTAGTGATACATTTTGTATAGGACAAAATTACCAACAGCAATTAAGAGGTGATTCCACGCTCCTCAAAACCCCCAATCTGCAAAAAATCTGCAAGTACAATTCAATAATACACAGAGATAGCTTCGTCTCCGAGAAAATAATATCAGATATCTTCAAATGTTCTCGCAAACATGTATTCGACTAGCGGTAGCAATTTCACCAACTTCAGCGCTTCTGCTATTAAAATTTTGTACGCCAACATCATTCACGCACAGTAAACAAACCAGGCCTTCTAGACAAAAATCAATTCAACGTTGAGCATTGGAAAATAACAAAATTTTAATACCAACCGCTGATACCTTTCTTTCTACACTATCGACATATCTCCCAGGGCAGGCTACGACTCTAACCCATTACAGAACTATATAGCCTGATGACACTACTTCAGACGAGTACATTTTCGTCGACATATTTAAGCTCACATCGCAACGACACAATTCGAGTCTTTTTTTTCTCAACAGCCTATGAGAGACAAAACAAATATACACAAACTTTATGGACATATGGGCGGAATAAAATTCTCTACATTTGAAAAGGAGTAGTGTTGAGTTATCCCACTTACTTTCCTTAAAAAAATTGCCGCTAGAGGACGCTCCTTCAGCCTATAAATAGAAAATAATATTCTGTGACATCCTATTTTTCCTATTTCATTCAGGAACGTTAAGATGTAGGTTGAACGAGGAAAAACGCTTTCGCCACTGGGGAATGAACACGCGCGTGCAGGCAACCACCCTTCACTTCATTTTCCCTAGAACTTTCTCCTATACCAAACTACACACACACTAGTTTAAATGTTTTGTAACCTGCAACAATATTCTATTGTCTATATATACATTTCTTTTCTTAATAATTACTTATCGTTTGTTTTTATACATAGTTTTGTTTTTACTTTTGTCAATTATTACCCGGATTTTATGATGTCAACGAATACTCGTTGTCACTTTCGTAATGCTCGTTGTAGTAGAGACTTTATAATCGCAGATACAAGAATAGCAACGCGTTTGAACAACACTGGTGTCAGACGGCTTTAAATAACACTC